CCGTAAGTTCCCCGTTGTGGATTACTTGGCGTGCAGCATTGTCGTACAGCTGTTGGATGAGATGTATAATTGTCGGTGGCACCCCGTAGTAGCGCAGTAGTTGCTAAATCACCTCTCGATCGACGCTGTCAAAGGCCTTTTCAAAGTCGATAAAGTTGAGATAGAGAGGTGACTGCCATTCCAAGCTTTGTTCAATGATGATCCGTAATGTGGCGATCTGATCAATACATGACTTGTTTCTCCTGAATCCAGCCTGTTCCGGTCGAAGTTTATCATCCAGGGCATGTTTGATTCTCTCCAGGATGATGCGGCTTAGTATTTTGCTTGGGATGGACGGGAGCATAATTCCGCGCCAGTTCTTGCATTGACTTAAGTCTCCTTTCTTTGGTAGTTTGAATAAGTATCCTTTCTTCCAATCCTCGGGTACTTTGCCTTCTTTCCACACCTTCTCCAGTAGTGGCGTCATCAAGTCTGCTGTTGTCTCTGGGTCCACTTTCAATGCCTCTACTGGGATTCCATGTGGTCCTGCTGCTTTTCCAGCTTTCAGCATCTTGATTGCCTTCATAATGGATAAGATTTTATTTTGATAAATCACACAGTGTAGTATCAACTTGATATGATTATGAGCAATAGTTTGTGCTCGAAACGTCATCAGTTAATATAACTGTACTACACTGTGTGATTTATCAAAATAAAATCTTATCCATTATGGAATTATACTCTACCACAGTGCCCAAGTTTTATACTTATATTGATTGCCTTCAGGACTTCTGATTTCGTCGGGGGGTTGGTGTTCACTGGTAGCCCCTTATAAAACTCATAATTTAAATATTTAATCTCCATCTCATTGGCGGTTACTGAACAAATATCCTGAAGTTGTTATCAGAAATCGTGGCCAGTGTGTCTATCTAAATGATCCATATTCCCAATAGGCGGAAACAGACTAATAATTTAGTAATCCAGAATTTTCATTGGACTATATCGCATTTAGACTGAATCATATCTGATTGCTAACTCTTTTCAAGAAATTTTATGCTAATGATAATAAAAAATAATAATAAACTTTCTATTCATATTTGCGTCAATAATCCCTCCTTTGTTCTTTTTGTCTTCTTCACTGACTGTACGTTGAAGGGTTGGTTAACTTTATCGATTTTGAGTATTGTGGATTCAATCATGCAGCATTTGATATTGGCAATCATTTCTGTGAATTTGCTGGTAAGTTTTAATTATCAAAAAATAATAAATGTATGAGCTATGTTTGTATTATGACCATATGTTATTATTATTATTATTATTCCCTTCAACTGCACGTCTCCACTTGCTTCTGTCTTCTGCTGTACTTTTCACTTGCATCCATGTTATTCCATACTGTTTCAACTCCTCTTCACACGATTTCCTTTATGTCACCCTGCGACGTTCCACTCGTCGCTTCCCTTTCGGGTTCCACTCGAGCACTGGCCTGACGCGCGATGTCACCCAACGGCCTCCTCAGCGAGTGTCCAATCCATCTACACTTTCTCCTGCATATTTGTTGAGCGATTGGTTCTTGTTTTGTTTGTTCCCATATTTTCTAATTGGTGATTATTTCCGGCCATCTGATCTTCAGTATAGAGCGAAGACAGTTGTTGATAAAGGTCTGCAACAGGCTGTTGGAAATAAATATTCTTTGTGACCCGCCAAGTTTCTGATCCGTATGTATAGAAGAACTGACTGACTTGACGTTTGTATTGAAAATCGGAATTTTGTTGTTCATGTTGAGTGACGAAGATTTCCAGATTGGTTTCAGGTTGATGAATGTGTTTCTCGCCTTCCCGATTCTCGATTTGACATCCTCGTCCGTTCCTCCTGTAGTTGAGACAATGCTCCCTAGATAAGTGAATGAAGTAACCTCTTTCAAATCCCTCCCGTTGATTGGATGTTGTTGTTGGTTGGTTGGTTATTTTCATAACCTCCGTCTTGTCTATGTGTATACTTGATAATTTTCAAGCTAACTGTGCTATAATTAGTGCTCACAATATCAATCACGACGATGACACAACACCATAACACCGAACACCCGACGCAAGAAGTTAGAAGACATGAAAAGACTGTTGTAGTGGAGTGCGTTTATCGCCTCGTATCAACTAAGCGAAAATTGTGTATCTACAGTTTAAATATATATGACCTTGAGGGACACAGGTCACATTGATTAAATAATCGATACTTTTATCGTCATCAACAACCAATTGGATTCAGAGTCATATTTGAAGTGAGGGAAATACAAACAACAAAATGGCGCGTGTTAGGAAAGTTATGTCTATAAAACAGTTTGGTTTTTATAAAAATGGAAAAGAGAAGTCTGTGTTAAATACGCGTCATTTGATAATTATTAAGACTCCCTTGCATTTCTTGTGGCCTTCAAGAGCGTTAACCGCAAAGTTATTTCAGCACTTATTGCACGGCTCAAATCTTGATCAACTTTATTCAATACCTATATGATAATGCCACATATCAGGTGAAGCACAAAGGAAAACTCAGTGAGGTGGTTGAAGTGAATACAGGAGTAAGACAATGCTGGCTGCCTACTATCAATGATAATAATATGCGGCACATCGTGCGTGGAGAGCGAGAAGACAAGAATACGCCGCACTGATTAGAAGACTTTAGAAGAGCTGGATTTCACAGATGATTTATGTCTAATGTCACATGAAGTCGAAAACTTACAGAAAAGAACCCAGCAAGTTGGCTGAAGAAACAGCGAAGAAGGGATTTCGGGTGAACAATGAGAAGATGGAGGTGATGATAAGGATAACCAACGAACCGCAACAACAACAGTCAGCACCAATCACCATCAGCTGGAGAAATTTGAAAGAGGTTACTTCCTTCACTTATCTGGCTAGGAAGCATTGTTTCAGCCGCACGGGGAACGGATAAAGATATCAAAACCAACCAGAATCGGAAATCTTCTACACTCAGCGTAAATAGTAAAATTCGGATTTTCAACACAAATGTTAAGTCAGTTTACCTATATGGGTCAGAAAATTGTACTGCGCATTACGAAAAGATATTCCAACGGGCCACAACACACTTTCATCAACAGCTGCCTTTGCTGGCTCCATATTAAAGATCAAATGGCCAGTCAGTCAGTCAGAAAGAATTAGTTACAAGAAACTCTGCAGTGGAACAAACCAACCAACAGCCTATTGCTCAACAAATATTCCGAAGAACATGGAGATGGATCGGACATACACTGAGAAGACCGACGAGTGACATCGCACAACAGGCCACTGCTTGAGTGGAACCATCTGAGAGAACACACAGCCAAATCAAAATGTCATATATTTTCCTGTCAACCAACGATTGTCTCATCATCAGTTAAACTACTGGTTATTCATATTAGATAAATTTATGTAATATAACATACGTCTCTGACTGTAGGACTGGGTGACATAGGTTCAAATCCCAGAGGGGACATGAATTCCTTCAACACTGTAGATACGCTTTTCTGACTGGTTAGTGTCAACAAACATGAAACCTAGGTGTCCACCAAAACAGGGTTTCCTGCCTATTACCTCCAGCCATTTGATAACACACCCAGTGATACAGAATTAGTGAATGGATATGCTTGAAAGACGCAATCCAATAGTTATCAATAGTGTAGCACCGTTGTGTTGTCACAATATTAAGGTTAGTCATCGGTCGAGTGCTAAATAAGTAGGAGAAATTAATCGATGAGGTTGTGAAGTTACACTGATTGAGAGAGATGGTTAGGGCATGTGTTACGCATGCATGCCTGGCCATCCATCGCCTACCACAACGATAGGCAATGTCAGCTGACATAGGATGGATCAGGTTGGAAAAGAGCTAGTGATTAGTGGTCAAACGAGAACATGGCTTGATCAGTCATTGAAATCCACAACAGTTAGTTTAGGCCACCTCCGTAAGGAGTTGTATACTTCCTGACTGACTGGTTGGGGTTCTCGGGATATTCTATGAGCCAACCAATGGCTGTAGACAACTAGTGGTATGGATCAAAATCGTTCTCAATCAATAGCTGGCGCAGAAGCATTTACTCTTTATGATTTGTCACCTCCAATAAAATTCTATTGTTCTTCCATATTACTGTTCTTTTTGCCCCATATTTCTGTTTATTATCTCTCTTTCTCTTTTGAATCTCTCTTTACTCTCTTCTCTTGCTTTGTGTGCTAGATGGAAGTAGAGTGACAATTCGAAGTGCTGCACATCTGTGCAAAGTAGTTTCACGTTAAAACCAGTCAGTCAGTCAATCAGTATATTGCTACGTCATTAAATAAACTTACTTAACGTGAGATTGTATTCTACCATCATAGTACACTGGTTGTTTACACTAAAATGACAATACTCACTTATAATCAGTTAGAATTGTGTAATTATGTGAACACTGATGAAATTGGTGTGTTTTTATGTAGTTACACTCACCTACGCACAGACGCACAACTGCACACTCACTCACTCACTTACAGTCACTTATGATATGTGTGTGTACATGAAATTGATGCAGACATAAATGAATCAGTACTTTTAATACTTATACCTTACCTACTGTCCACTTATTTATTGATACATATACATTTTTAAGAAAAAACATTAATTTCAAATAAATTCTCATGATAGTAGGTTTACATTGCAAATTTATTGTTAGGTATATTTAGTAGGGGAGGTGATAACATAAACAGTACAATACCTCATTGAAAGTGACATTGGACATAGATTGGACATTGTTCTGACATGATGATGATCTATATATACAGCATAGCCTTGAACTACTTTCCACGGCATAAAAGTCTTTGAACTATTCAGCTAATAATAATAACAATCATAGTATTCTTCTACTTGCTTGGAATTAATTATGCATCTATTGAACCACTGTGTGAGTCGGTGGCACAGCGGTAGAATGCACGCTGGCAACCACGTTGCGCATGTGGTCTGGGGTTCGATCCCTCGGCCATAGACGCACTCCTTTACCTCGCTAAGCCATTAATATGACTGGTAAAGAGGAAAAGGTTGGGCATGAGACAGGCTAGTAGCCCCATTCCGTAAAAATAAACACCATTGATTGCTACTGAAACTTCAAGCCTCTAGCTTGAAGGTGCCCTATGTTCCATTGGGAACGTAAAGGAATAAAAAAAATAATGAACCACTATCCTTTTTCTTCATTGCTTCACGTTCTAAGTGGGACAGTTAGGGCTTTAAGTTTTGAGGTTTGAAAACATTCAGGAGCAGGTGTCGTGTTGTTTGTCTTACACAACAGGGTGTGGTTACTAGCATTGAGTCCAGCTTAATTTTCCCTCTTTAGTGGACTTCGCCTATCGGATAAGCGAGGTTTAAGAGTGAGTGTTTCAGCTGGGAATCAAACCCCAAACCGCGTGTGTGTGGTTAGCGAGAATTCCTATCGCTAAACTACTGACACCTCATAGTAAGTCCTTACTGTTATTTGCTGTAATCGGAAACAATAAACAATTGATTTGAAGATGAACTTTTTGGATCAAATGTCTTACAGCTCTCTATGGATAGGTTAAACTCCATAAGCTACCAACGACTTCATGGAATGATGAAGGGTTTTTTAACTTGATATGAACACGCTCAGTTTAATTCAAAAATAATCCTAATAAATGCTAACATTATACACTATAGCTGACTGACGTAGAACTTTGCACAGGTGCACACTGCATAGAGCGGTTAGGATTCCTGGTTCTCACCAAGACAGCCCAGAGGTTCCACTTCCTGTGAGGGAGCGGTTTTGTAAGTCGGTAGTTCGGCAGTAGAATGCCCGCTAACTACCACGCCACACGTGGCCCGGAGTTCGACCCCTGGTTGACGTACTCCTAGACCACTTGCTTAGCCGGTAAATAAGCCTGGTGAAGAAGGAAGGTCCGACGTGAGGCTAAAAAAATAGACACCACTGCTACTGAAGCTTGAGGCCAAATGTTCAGCTCAGAACGCAAAGGAATGAAGTAACAATAACAAATATGGCGCACCAAAGAGAGAGAAATTCAAAACAAATCCAATGAGAAGAAATGTAAGGGGGTGGGGGGAAGTGTAATTTGCATTGAGAATCATCATACCTCAATGGATATAGGAGACTACTGAGAGTGAACGCATCTACGCTACTGCGAAGTATTTTGAGCCGTGACACCAACAGTATGAAGTCATTGGTTCCTGGAATCTTGAGGAAATCAACCAGGCAGTCTACTCCT